GTTCTTTTTTGTTATAGCACCATTGTAGCCAGAACCAGCAAAGTATAAGCATTAGTATTCCAACTGGTAGAGCAAAGAATAGAAAATTGAGAAAGTTTATGCGAAAACCAGTACCACCATATTTACTATGTTATATGCAACATAGTCACTTATTATTTGTATTCTACCTATTTACCTCTCTACAAAACCTTTCAGATAAACATTAGGTGTAGTACCAACCAAACTAGATAGTCCACCAATAGATGATGAATAGGCTACGGCAAGTAGAAATCCTAAATAGATACCAATATGCATTGAAATAAAGATGAAACTAATTCCGAAATTCGAAAGAAAAATACCTTTCTTCAACTGGCCATGTTTTTTCTTGGATCTATCGTCGCCTTCAGGTTTTTGTCGTTTACAGCATAGTAATTTAAAGTGAGTATTGGTCTCCACGAAAGTTTCTGATTATCTATGAAAAGAAGAAAATCTAGACTTGACAAGAAGCTTTAGTTCCATATACATACAATGTTTGACATATTTGGTAGTATGGCATTTGGTTATGCTGTAGAAAAAGTCAATCTTCATCGACGCATTGCTCTGTTTGTATTGAGTTGGGTTGGCATGTCAACTAAATGGTATTGAAAATTTTAATCGATTTGTTAAAATCAATGATACCATCGGTTGAGCAGTCTCCTAAACATTTTAATTGAACAATTTCATCACTAAATTAAGTGTATTTTTCAGGAGCAAAATCTATTTTTTATATTTCGTTGCTTTCTGTTCCTCGATGTTTTTAAGTTTATTCAATTCTAAAATATTGAATTTTTATTATGCCAAACTAGGATCATGACAGGTATGATGGGACCAACGGCATTTCTTTCAATGTAGATGAACAATACTGCATCAATATCAATTATGTTACCTGTAGCGTTGGCCGTTGTTCATGAACTTGGAATTTACAGTGAAAATTCTCCCAATAGACAGCAAGCAGCTGTTATAAATAGTGGTAGGATTCTAACTTATTAGTTATAGTTCTCTCTGTATTCAAACGGGTCTCGTTGTATTCGATTCCACAAATGGAGAAGGGTCCGACGAAAACAAAATTGAAGAGCTCACTCATACTACTCAAAGATGTCAAACATCGTATGTAT